TTGGGCAAAAGTGGTAGAAAAGACGCGAAAAATAATAAAAGAAGGTCATGATAGAGACGTCAATATTGATAATATTATAGAAAATGTAATTATTAGATATACAGGCGACGATAGCTCATCTGGCTCGTCATCAGAAAAAAATGATTGATTTCACTTTTTTTGATTTTGTTGTGATTGAGCTAAATTTTTAAATTAAAGACAAATTGACATTTCTTTCCATTGCATCATTTCAAATTGCCTATAACATTAAAGTTTAAGTTATATGTTCTAATTATAACGTAAATCCAATCCACTTTGTGATATATAGTCAAATCAATCAAATACTCAACAAGCTTGAATCGATTTATCGTAAGTATCGTGCACCGAGTTGTATGGTTAATCACTAGTTACGCCACCATGACAAATGTCAAAATGGGCTTCTTATTTTGTGACGACTGTAGTCTACACTAACTAAACAAAAACAAAAACAGCAACGATAATTCTATTAATTACGGTGTATTATGTCGTTGTAGGTTCTACATTTGTATCAATAAATATGATAAATCCATGACAACTTTATGGACCAAAATGAAAAAAAACGTTATACATTTTCAAATTATAAGGAATTTTTTTATTTATTTTTCCAAATATGTCAATCTTTTTGATATCACCACTGATGAGCCACTGCCATTCCATCGCCACTGTAAAGACACTGAGTTAGTGTAGACTACCGATATTTATACCGATGCCAATGGCCACTCGATGGCATCTCAATAGCGTGTCAGTGGTATGACAGTGGCTTGGCGTGAACATAAAATAGCAGAATTGAGGCCCAGGTTACTTCTTTTTGTTTTTCGATTTTAGCGTATTTTCTCACCATAATACAGTTTCAGTTGAGACTGGACACATATGTTTTGTTTCACAGACTGTGACGTCATTCAAGACGCCATGACACTATTCAGCGTTTTCATGGGAAATTTAAATTGTTTTTTTAAAATACAAAATAAGTAATGTAAATATTGCTTTTTCTCTTCTTCTTTTAAAAATATAGGTTTTTGGGACAAAATAGATATTAAAGTATATAATTAACCATGTTTTGAAATTGAGTCAACGTCAACAAGTCAGCCTATTCTATTACTACAAAGGAAAGGATTTATGTCTGAATGTCTGTCAAAAAGTGGAGAAAATCGATGACTAATATTTTCAGTCCAACATGGACGAAGAAATCACAGATGAAGAAATGGACACCATTTTCTTTTGTATATGGCAATCTGTGCCGATGTCTGCCAAAGTCGAATGTCTGATGAAAGTGCGTGTGACATTTAAGAGTTCTACTCTGTTCTACTAGATATTCAATAAATTATTTATAAAAGTAATTAGAGTTTTGTTTATTGGTAATTATTAGCAGTCAAAATAAATTACTATTCAAATCGATTGGGAAGGGAAAATTACTTTTCTCCTCAAAAATGTCTTCTTAATACTGTAAACAGATGTGGAAATTATTGCTACTCTCGAATCATATTAGTTTGATGAAATGATTGGGTGTATTCATAGCGATTTCACATGTTTTTCTTTTTTTTTACACACAACGCCATCTAGTCCCAAACTAAGCAGAGCTTGTGTTATGGGTACTAGACAACTGATATAGATTGTGATTTAAGAGAAGGATAAATGACATTAAAATTAATCAAAATTCTTTTTATCAAAGATTACGAACTTTTTCTCGCGAGTAGCGTAATAATAATAATTAAGTAACAGTAGTTTACGGGTATGCTGATATGATTTATCGCATGTGATTGTGCTTTTATGCCACCCCTACTGGTAACATTAGCTACGCCACCAGTCGCGCACAGACGCTGAATTATCTAGCGCGCACTTTAGCTTATAAAATTCTTATTTCGACATTAAGAAAAAAAATTGAAAAGAAATTAAGAAAACACATAAGCGTGTGAGTGCGTGTGTATCACACAACACTTGTGCCTTCAAATTTCTCGAATATTATCCGGATCTAATAAAGATTCAAATATCTAATTGGTTTAAAGGTTATCATCTAATAGAAAACAGAGCGTTCGAGTGGAAAGCTATGAGAGTGATAGTGACTATTGCACATTCGGGGTTCCACAGGGAAGCACCCTGGGGCCTCCTATTTCTAATATACATAAACGATCTACTTAATGTAACCCTCACCCACGTGGAACTCCTTATGTTTGCTGATGACACTGTATTGGTGTTCCACGGCAAGAACTGGGATATGGTGCGTCAGTAGGCGATGGTCTAGCTGTAGTAACCCAATGGCTTGAGAATAGGTTACTCTCGCTTAACACATCTAAAACGAAATACATCTATTTCAGTAAATCCTACCGGTCTGATCAATGTCAAAACTTTGCACTCAGAATTCATAAGTTTCCTTGCAATAGAGCTAAGATACGGTCTAGCTATTCCTGTCCTTTGCTGTCTAGGACGCGCTCCACGAAGTACCTCGGTATAGAACTAGACGTGAGACTTGAATGGGGCGCTTACATAGTTACGCCAGCCGGGAGGATTAGAAAAATGATCTTTATATTTAGGAACTTACGCAGTGTGGCTAACCTAAAACTTTTTATCCAAACGTATCGTGCCCTGTGTGAGTGCCCAGGTATTGCATCTGTGCCTGGGGTAAAGAGTCTAAAACACATCTAATAGGAGTTGAACGCTCACAACGAGCTGTACTTAAGGTTATCATGCGCTTACCTTATAGGCACCCAACAGCAGTCGTTTATGAAAAGGCAAATATACTTTCTGTTACAGGTAAATTAGCTTGGAGAAAATTTTGCGTTTGTAGTAGTGTATGGTACGGAAAGCGTAAACTGGTTTATTCTGGTTTTGCGCGTGTTTCCACTTTCCACTATCAAGTGACGATTTTTTGAAATAAATATAATAATAACAAAAATTTTGACCCCCCGTAGACCCCCCCGGAGTTAAGGAAAAAAAATATTTTAAATATCGGTCTCTCCTCTTTGAAGTTTCACTTCTATCGTGTGTGAATCGCACACACACCTTTTTTTTTATAAAGTCAAAACCTTTTTCTTTAAAATAAAAACTTGTTTTTATTGAAAACAAAAATCAGAGTGTTGCTAGGGATAAGTATAAAATTAAATAGTAATGTTAGGATATCGAAACATTTTTGTATAGGCCAGAACGATATAGTGGAAACGCGCTCTAAGATCTGAGTAATATACACACCACTACATATGCAAAAATTTCTCGAGACCAATTTCACTGTAGAAAACAGGCCTGCGCTTATGGAGGGCGGAGGTCATTCTGCGACCTCCGGCGCCTGAGTCGCCTGCGGTACCTGGCCCGTTCCCGGGCCTGGCGGGCCGGGAGAGTTCTAAACCTCTCCCGGTCCCGCTCCGCCGTCTCCTTCGCGAGCATAACTTGCTCGCAGAAGGAGACGGCAGACTTCCACGCACTCTCGCTCCGCACGATAGCCGCAATCAGGCTCTCGAGCGAGAGAACTCCCACTCCGATGGCCGCCACGAGGTCTCGCTTCTGCTCAACCCACGCCGGGCACTCCGCCAGCGTGTGGAGAGCCGTGTCCACGGTCTGGCCATCGCAGTGGTGGCACTCAGGCGTTGGCTCCTTGCGGATCAGACACAGGTGATCCCCGAAACATCCTTCCCCAGTGATCACCTGCGTCAGTCGGTATGAGAGGGTCCCGTGACGACTCTCGAGCCAATCCTCCATAACGGGTCTTACCGCCGCGATGACGGCGTGCCCGAGGAACTATCCACCTGGTTTAGACAAAACAGCTATGAAGAAATCGAAAAGATGGTTTCCAACAGACGTTAAATACGTAAATATACTGTTTCACCACCAAAGATCGACACCAAAAATACTCCCTAATAATCGCTACACACACACACACACACACGCGCGACGACGCTCCCACACGCACACACGCGTGAGCGCGCGCTAACACACGGACACATTCACACTAGTGCAAGCCACATTTGTAGTTGCACTATATTTTACACACGACACAAATACACACCCCATAATGTCTGTTTGATTGTAAATAATAATTAAGTTGGCTTTCTTTGTTTTGTAATTAAACCACTTTCTTTTCTATTTTTTGTTCACATAACTGTATATAACATATAACAAGGTGTAGTTACTGGGTCCTATAATAGAGTTCACACTAGTTTAGGAGCCAGCGTATGTATACTATTTGTAACACTTTTATGTCAATAAATAAACATTTCAAATATTTCATGTCAAAGTTATTGTTAAATCTTTATTAGATCTGGTTAATATTCGAGGTGTTTAGTTTTCGAACTTTCCGATCTCCTGTCAATTCTCGTAACAAAAGTTGGTCAAAATGATTCGATTCGATCGATCGAAATGATCGATGATGGCAGATTCGATCAACTCTCGATCTTGCAACTGTCAAAAAAGGTTTTTTCTTAGTAATGCATTTAACATCCAACGTTGACTGTAATGTGATTATTCAGTTTTGGAACCGAAAACTAAATCGGTGATCTTAGTAATACTTTACAATGTTACAGCGAAATTACCTTTTACCACAGTGGTGAGATCGAGAGTTGATCGGATCTGAACTTTGACCAACTGTTATTACGAGAAGTGACCTTCTGTTCGTATCGTATGTCGTAATGTGGGTGTGAATACCTAGTCCTTGCAAAATTGGCACCATTATCGCACTAGAAAGATGACGTAGATAATGAATTATTCTTACTTGTTTCAGCATGTTATATTAATAATAAAGGCATGCATTTGAAATCTTTATTCGTATTATGAAGTTCATAAAATAAATACGAAAGTTTTGATATTGCTCTATTTCGTGTAAAATACACCATAAAACCTAGGGAATTGTTTACCATGATCAATGCTTTTATTTTTAGTTTATAAGGATAGCAAAGGCAATAAGACCCGTAATCTATTAATTTAATGGTCAGTAACAACAACAGCATAATACAGAAACAGAGCATTACCAATATACTGTCATTTCACTAAATTTGTGACTATCTTTTTTGATCACCCAAATCTTCAATACTGTCTTCATCAATCTGAAAAAAAAAGAATTCATTTTATTTATTATACATTCCTAATTCAGAATTCTGAAATAAAGATAAAAATAATCAGTTACCTCAGGCCACTTTTCAGGAATAAAATCAAACAAATCATCTTTTACATCCCCTTGAATTACAATTTCATCATCACCAGTAACTGAAGAACCGCAAGCAAACTTTGTGCCAAATAATTTAGCTGCAACCTTTAAATCAATATCTGCAAATAATATAATTATAAAGTAGATTTTTAGCAATTTTTTATTCTTATTCTGATTACAATATTCGATGTGTAAAGGGACATGATGACAATCCCCATATGGGACAACACTGTGTGATCCACAAATTGTTATACTGAGTCTGGGTGTTCTTTATGTTCATTTCATGTATGTTTGTAACCTCCCCGCAACACAGGATATTTACCTAGTTGGGGAATTGTCTCTCTGAATAAAAAAAACAAATTATAGAATTCATCAAAAGAAATTTGTCTCTCATGAACTAAAAATTTAATATAAAACTCATTTCGGTACATTTCTTTGTGCCGACCCGCTGTAAAGGATTGGCTCTGGAGATAACGAGGGTAAGGTGATCATTGGGAAAGATGCTTCAGAGATAACCTCCGTCTGATCTGCAAAGAGCCAAGGCCTGAGTGCCACCACTGAGATGGATACAGCGCTCCAGACGCTGGCATAATGACCGGCGAGGGTCAGAGGCGTAACTTGTGGCGGCCATAGAAGTGCGCATTCTCTCGTTTGTTACCATGATTTTCACCAGAATATAAAGAACCAGGTACGAAGCAAGTGCGCGTGGAACTCTGCCACCCCTGTCTGCGAGTATGTTATTCTGGCAAAAGAGAGGTCGGAATGGGGCCGGACGAGGCTTGGCACTCTCCTGGTCTATTGGGTCTGGGAATGGGTCGTTAAACAACCTTCGTCCTCCATACGCGCGCGGGTATCCGAGTGGTTTTTTTCGCGAAAAGAAAGGTAAAACTAATGTGTCATGTAATATATTTCTGTTTTAGGCTGGCAAATATACAGTAAAAGTTACATATTCATAAGGAAAATAAGTTGTAAATTTACTATGAATGCAGAATATACGGAATAGCTTAAAATAAAAAATTACCAAATTTAACTTGTCATTCTTGGGTAAGGGGTAAAAAAGCACCGTTTGCACCAGCACAGGCTCAGTGATGGTATGAGGTGGCAGTTCTTATTAGGCTAATACAGAATTGATTGTTATTAAAAGAGTCAGCACAAATGCTTAAGAGGTACATGGATGAGGTTTTAGAACCTCGAGTTAGCCCTTTTGCCCCTTTTCTATATATAGCATGACTACTATGACTGTTGGACATGATTGAGACAATCTTATAAGGCGAGTATGAAGTCTGCTTCTGCTTGTACTTCCATTAATAAGCTGAAGATTGCTGTGGTTGAGGAGTGAGAGAATATATTGCAGTCAGATATTTAAGACACAATGAATGGTCTTCCAAATCGCCTAGAGTAGGTCTAAAATGCCAGGGGAGTTCAAAAGAGCCATAGGAGGTCAAAAGAGTTATAAGAGGTCAAGTGTCATAGGAGGTCAAAAGACCTATAGGATGTCAACAGAAACAGAGACAATTAAAAGAGCCTGAGGGGTTCAAAGGAACCATAACCATTACTCATTATTAAATTGTTGACTATTAATGTCAACAAAAAATTTTAGACAGATATATCATTACTTTTGTTTGTGTTTATTAAGGGTAATTCCAATTTTTTTATTTTTTTTTATTTGAGTGATAGCAAATTATTTTTTTTCATCAACTATTAACCAAATTATATTATACACCATTCTCAAATGTTTTTTTAAAATTATATCAGATTTAAAGTGGGTGGTTAATTGTGCCTTTGAGAGATGAGAACACATAAAAAGAAATAGACCCACCCAATTTATTTATTAAATTGGGTGGGTCTATTTATCTATATATTACTTTGAACTTAAAGAACACATTTATAATTTTACTTATAACAAAATGCTATGAGAAAATCACTAAATTATGTAAATTACTATTAAATTGACTTTTGAATATTTTTAAGAACTATTAAAAATAATGAATGATGTACTTTATATTCCCATAATGATGCACAAAAATTTAAATTTAATTAATTAGTAGGAACTCATAATGGTAGAATACTAACCAAAAGTGCTAAGTCCAGATACTACGGTAACAGATTTCTTCTTGCCACGGGGGGCACGAGAGACTTGCACTAGCTTGGGCACATCTTCCTTCTTCTTCGACTTCAGCATTCCTTTTCCTCCACGCTTTTGAGGCTTTTTTTTTTCTTCACCACCTGCATTCTCTTCTTCATCTGGAAATGTAATCTTCATCATCATCATCAACAGCCTTCAATAGTCCACTGCTGGACATAAGCCTCTCCTTAGAAAGGAGGTTTTGGCCTACTATACCACGCTGGCCAGACGGGTTGGTATAGGGTTTGTGTCAAGTTTTCCTTCTCTTTGCAGTGCTGTTGTCCTGCGTAGTTTGCTCCACTAGTCGCCTCTTACGACACCCACGGGATGAATAGGGGTGGTGACACTCTGTATTCTTAATCCGTCACCACACGGAATGTAATCTTGATAGTCAGTATTTATATATATCAGTAATACCAATGGATTTGATGTTAACATTGGTATAAACATTAACATCATTAAACACTTAATGTATGATCGTCGCATAAACGTTTAACACTACATTTTAACCAATATTTACGATGACCTAACCTTAGCGATATTATTTTAGTATGGACTTACCGATTTTAACTTTCTCAAACTCTGTCGGTAGATTCTTTTCCAGCCATTGCTTACATTTGTCATACTCGGGATAGTATTCACAGTATTCTATAGGCATAGAACAATTTCCACAATATTGAACTTTAATTGGATAGGTTACACCGTCACGGGGACCCATAGATAGGTCTTTTTCGCCCATTTTTAATTTCTGCTAGTTTATAAAAAATAGTAGAGCATGCTCTAGTTCAGAGAACTTAAACTAAAAAATGGAAGAGCTCAGATAAACTTTAATTGCTTTATTTTAAAACCAATGCAATTTCTCAAAATTGCAATTACGGTCTTTTGACAAATTTGACATTCTGACATTCATCATGTTGACAGATGATAAGATGGCATTCGTAAGTTTGAAAACATATCTTTTAATCTAGATGTTACAGTGCTACTGGACTGGTATACTTTACTTTGCAGACTTAGCTATTTTGTAGCATGGCAACCCTAATTATCTTGAGAGGATTAGCGTAAAAAGCATTATTGGTCGCAAAATTAGAGGAATCAATATTATATTTGTAGGGTTACCCACATTCGTAGATAGAAAGCTGATAGTACACGATTTCCAGCGCCTGAGACGCCTGCGATCATATCATTCAAATCAACGTTGATGGTTAACCCTTCAATGCACAAGAAAAAAAAAATTGCTTTTTGCTGATTATTTCATTAAATTTAGGTTAGACTAAGTGTTTATAAAAAGTAAAAAATCTTCTTCATAGATTGAGGTAAAAACCATTTGTTAAAAACACTTATCATTGCGCAACAGTATAATACTCACATGTAATCAGTTAAGTATTTTAAACACTATCACACAACACAATTAAGATAAAGGAAATAGAATTATAGTCAGAATAAAAAAGAAAAATGTTTATTTCAGGACATGATAATTATGAAATCAGTTTCTCTTAGCAACTAGGCACAATCTTATTTTATGTTCGCAAATCCATTTTTGCAATATTTGCAACTCATCTACTTCCTAAGAAGTAAAAATGGGATATTGGCCAATGTTGTCGTATCGGACGGATCCAGGAGGCCTTGGGACAACTGTCGCTTTTCTCTTCAACCAGTAATTTTCACAGGCGCAACCTGACTTGCTATTTTTCTCCGTAAAAGTTCTTTATAAATCTGGATCCTAAAGTTTTTAGTGGTAATCCTTCTGTTTGTCCCTGCATCTTTCCGATACAATAGCTACGCGTTGTTGATACACCTACATAAATATCGAGGGATTGAGAAAATATAACTATATAGTAGTTTAGTCTAGTTTAGTCTTAAAGTTTAAAAGATATAATGAGACTAACATATCTGCGAAGTCAACACTTTCCATGTGTATGCCATAGTCAGGCAATATAATATTGTCTGACTATTGCAGGACAATCGACATCTTTTTATTTTAGTGCTTTTGCAATAACGTTTTACTTTGTGTAAAGGGTAATAACCATCTAATGAGCTAGCTTCTGTCACTGCTTTGGTGTTGTACCACTTGACAGCACAGCAGCCAGTTTGTGTTTATTACAGACGATGGGAAACAGATGTGTTTACTAGCCGGTCTACCTTTTTTGAATAACGTTTTATGATTTGAGAAATTATTTAACACCCTCTTACCCTATTGCTTTTTACTGTTTCTAAACTAAAAATCCTACTATTGCCGCGTAGTAAATGAATTTTTTCTAGAAAAGTAAAAAAAAAAACAAAAGTACACGATTGTTGGCTCATTTTAAATTGTCATGCAGAGAGCCAACACCACCTTAGCTCTAAGCCCCAGAATATTCTCATACTTGGTAAAGGAAGATTTCTTAAAGTATCTTCGCCCGCATTTGGTAAAAAATCCCACACCCACAAACAAATATTTTGAAAAACTGTTTTTCAGGTTTCTTGGCCAAGTATTGACGACGGCTTCCCGATCTTGATTTATTTTTATATGGAACCATTTAAAAGCTAAACATTTCCTGGAATATATTTTATTTATTTTCAGCAACGTGTGATGGTCCTAGCGCTGGATTTTTAGCTTTGAATTGAAGTAGATTTAATTTGCTGCGCTGTAATGGATTTGGAGGTGATAATAATTCTGGACCGGGAGAAGTATAGAACTCTACCGCCCCCAGACTCGGGAACGGGCCAGGTCTCGCACGGCTCAGGCGCCCGTGGTCGCAGAATGACCTCCGTCCTTCATTGTTAGCTCGTATGTTACTTGCTGTAGACTCGCTTCTGGCCACTTGGTGAAGTAATCCATTACAACCATGAAGTACTTGTTTCCGCTATCACTTTCAAGAAACAGCCCCCGCTACATCTATAGCAATCCTCTCCCAGGGTGCACCAACATTGTAAAATTTCAATGCTGCTACGTGTATGTGGTTCCTTCACGGCCGCACAATTGGTACACTTGCGACACCAGTCTTCAACATCATCACGACAATGAATCCAGTATAATCTCTCCCTTATCTTGAACCAGGTCCTCTTCACTCCCATATGGCCTCCTGAACATCCGTTATGGTAGAGCTGCAGGACAGCCTTGCCTGGAGCCTTGCAGGTATCTTAGCTTTAGGCACAAGCATTTGCAGATGACAGCTATCTCCTCAAGCGTTTTTCCATTTACAGCACAAGACTCCGTCCTGGATGACTAAGCTATCCCCTTGAGCCCAATAACTCTTCGTGGTCGAACTCATCTACGCAACATCACTCCAGTGAGGCTTAGGAGTATCAGCTTTAATCCACTCGAGAATCGCCTTGATATCTGCATCCTCCTGCTGTGCTTGTTGTAGGCTTTCCTTCCATTCATTGCTAAGGTCCGTCCTTAGCGTCCTTGCGGGTACAGATTTCTTTACTTCTTGCTTGGCACAGTGCTTGCGGTCTTCAGGACAAGGTCTTCTTGATAGCGCGTCTGCGTTTCCATTAGATTTTCCACTGCGATGGTAGGCAGTGCTGTTAGTCACCCTAATCTTCTGAGTCCACTCGTCTTCACCTCCTTTGCTGCGCTTAGGGCAATTAGACCGAAGATGACCCTTTATGCCACAGGCGTAATATCTAGGTCTGTGTCCCTTAAATCGGTCAAATACAGGTGCCGCCACAATCTTGGTGACCTGATGACACCGATGGTCTTGTCTCACAGCTACCACCTCCAAAGCATAGGCCAAAGTGTCCTTGAGAGTTTTATGGTGTCAAAGCCTCACAGCAACAAGGTCACAAATGCCATCGATGAAAGCTTGCACCAGATTGCCAATGAGCGCAGGTGCAGACTGGTATGCTTTACGGCCCAGTTTCTCCACTTCCAGGGCCCATTATTGCAAGTTTTCACCGATGCGTTGGACACGATCCTTCAGCTGTGCACGAAACACGTGCTCCAGGTGAGCGTCACCATATCTTGCCTTCAATGCTTCCAGCAGTTCCTCATAGGTTACCTTCTTACTGAGGGCTTCAAGGACGGTTAAGGCCTGATCTCGGAGACCCAAGGTGAGCGCGGTCATAGCCTGGGCCTTAGTTTAGGCGTTCGCCGTCATAACAGCCTCAAACTGGATCTTGTAAGCAGACCACGAAGATGTCCTATCAAACGCCGGCACTTTGAACCTTTGCACCGTAGAAGCAGCGGTTATCGTTGTCGCCATCCCGTCTCCAATTTTGAGGTTCCCTAAGGCCTAAGTTCCCTAAGCGCCATCTAGCGCTGCAAGGATCACAACTACTCGTATTAACCACAATCTTAATAGATGCACTTTAGTCGATACTAGATGGCGTTGTCCTCCACATTCCATACAATTGAACCATTTAATCCTATGGCGCGACATTACTAACAATAAGTATGTATTATAGTAAAAAAAGTAGTATATATTATAGTAAAAAAAAAAAAAAAAAATATTTATGTATAGACAAATCGATGAATGCTATTCGCATTTATACCCTTTTTTTTTCGGTGCGGCAATCCCCTCGGATACCACCTATCGGTGGCATGTCGGACTCGAACCGACTAAAACCGCACGCCGTCTCGGGTAATAATAGCCGGGGAACCAGGTATACCCTAGAAAGAAAGTCCCTGGTGCCCGCATTTATACCCTAATGGTAAGGTATGAGATTGATTAGTACCTTTTTTTTTCTTTTTTTTCCGTGCGGAAATCCCCTCGGATACCACCTGTCGGTGGCATGTCGGACTCGAACCGACTAAAACCGCACGCCGTCTCGGGTACTAATAGCCGGGGAACCTGGTATACCCTAGAAAGGAAGTCCCTGGTGCAAAAGTTGAATCTGCCGAAATTGATTGGTACCTGGATTGAAACACAGCTTTAGGTAAAAGTATCAATTTACTATTTAAATTCAATAATATCGATACAAATTCTCATTAGAATTAAACCCTTTGGTAAAATAAACTTAGGTAGGTAGTGTTTAGTGTTTTTTTCTGTTTGTTTACAATTTCTTTTATTTTAGATTATTTGAATTGCTCTCTGTGTTATGCTTACAAGAATATATAAAAATATTTGTAACAAAACTAATGTTATTTGCGATGACAACCTAATATTATAATTATACATCATCATGGGCGAACTCAGGTTTAGGATTGTACTGAGGGATAAAACTTTTCTAATCCGCCCAGAGTAACAGAGGAGTAATAATTGTTGTGTTAGAAGTTTTACGATGGTAAAGGGTTCCGAATCCGCAACCTATTGTCGCTTTGGATGTATCTCTAAATCGCCAATTCTCGCCAATTATCCGCTTATATATTGGTATAATTCTATTTGCAACTACATGTGATGTGTATCCTGCAGCACGAAGTTTGTCGTTGAGGCAGTGCATTGTTCTCCAGTGTGTAATGCTATTATTTTTCTTACATTCCATTACTACAAAATATTTGGTTACACAATTTGTGGACAGGATTACTTATAAAATATTTATTTTCTTATACGACCTTATTACGGTAATTAGATTGCATCAGGCGTTCTCAGAAGGAACACATTTTATTCTTAGCTACAATTTATTTTTGGTTATATACAAGACAAAAATGCCCTTCAGGAAAAGCTTTAATTTCTTAAAACAACTACACTTTTTTAAGGGCCTTCCCTTAGTTGAACAAGATTTAATTTTATAGCAATAATATAACGTCAAAGAATAATTACAATGTCCGGAGGTGTTTTAATAGTCGCGTCAATTTCTTACCTTACGATATCCTATAAAATTCTAACAGGTGGTTACATTATTCATAGATCAAAAACTTTAGCTTACAAATCTCATAAAATGGTGTAACAATTACCTATACATGTAACAAAAAGTGTGTTGGTTTATAAAATCTTTTTTTATTAATATTTTAATGAAAAAATTTAAAGTTTGGGAAAGAGCTTCAGACTGCTTAGAAACAAAGTAATAAAGTTACATAATAGATATACTATATACATATACTTTTATGACCAAGATAGAACATTATGATCAAAGTATCGATTTATAGAGATCGACTGCAATAAAATGTAGATGAAAATGTAGGTACTTGTAGCGCTGATAGCATGCATAGATAGATGAATTAAGTAGGTAGCTTATTCTGCCACCAAAAACGGCAGCGTCACGGAAGTGTGTCTATGGTGTGTGTTCCAATTTTGTATACATCGCTATTAGCCATGGCACACCGACGACGAGACGTAGTTAACAGTTCCTGATCGCAATGCGTCGTGTTTGCTGCAAGGAACTACCAAACTTACCAGTAGGTAGTCGTTACGCGGAGGTATCGAGCTAACACTAGCCATCCACAACCTATGTAACATTTCTACTTATCTAATAAACGGATCATGGCGTTATCTAAAGTTACACCAATGATAACTATTGTATAAAAATCTAAATTCATCCCATTTTTCTAAAGAGGTTTTTATAATTTATTAAAACTAAGTGGGTAGGTAATTGTTCTACGCTAATACCTACATTGCAGTCTATTTTCTATACATCTATAATACTGTCATGTTTTTTATCGGAAGCTTTGAGTTTTTCTTGCATTTGTGTTAGCATATCTTGCATGCGTCGGATCTGAAATTAAAATAAGTGGTTTGTGATTATTCCACGCTACAGTCTCCTTACAACCTTTTTAAAATATAAAGAATCATTTCACGTCCTCTTTATAACTAAAAGGAAAATTCTAGTGGCGAGGCAATCATTTACAAAAAACATCCATTTTAACCTGTAAATGAGTAAATCATTTTTTTTATTCCTAGAAAACTGAAAAGTGAAATTTTCAAACTGTAGTTTTACTATAATATTTGTAATAATGAGCCTTAAACGTTTGATTAAAAAAAGAGCGACCGATTTTAAGGTCTCTTGACATACTGTGCAATGGTGTGAAGTTCTGCGGTGATCTTTAATAGCCATAACTTCGGTTTAAGACTGTTCAAAATAGTTTGCGTTTTTTGGTATAACCAGGTTGTCTTCCTAACTTCAGTTTTAAATGACTATACATCATTTAAAATAACGACACCAAAAAACCAAAATTTAAAATACTTTTACATATAATAATAATATGAACTATCTTGAAGCCGAAATATATTAATAAACTATTTTATCTTCAATTTGACATACATGTTTTAATCTTGTATTATTAATATTTAAGTGGGTAGGTATGTTTTGAATACGTCCTGGTGGAATAATTATACCATGAAACGGAAGAGAAATCTTAGAAAATGAGTTTTATTAGCTTGACTTAAAGATAAACACCATTAGTCTAAGTGTGTACCATTAGTCTTTCAAGTTTAAAAATAGTTACCTCTTCGTCCTTTTGCAATAACAGGCGATCGGTGTCCGTGAAAACTACTTCATTGTTGTTACCCATTGAGTCTCTCTTTAGTTTTCTGAAAAAAAAAACTCAAATCTATTGCCGATTTCTCAAGGTTCAAAATAGCAGTAAGTAAACGCACAGATAAGATAATTATTTGTATTAACTATGTAAGTCGAGGCAACAAAGTAGAATTATATGACATGAAATAAGAATTATACGGACAACAAGAAGTTTAAGACATTAATAAATATTAACAGTAAATTGTACCGCTCTAAATACCGCCCGCTAGACAGTCGTATCCATTACACTTAATACGAATAAGTACATTAAATAGAATTTAGCTATTCGGAGGTTGTGGGATCAGAATCCAACGCCTATTGAGGTGAACTCCTTTTATTTAGCACGAGCAATTTAGATTCGTTAGTAGCGAGAAATTTCTTTAAGGTGAAAATGTTTATTTCATCGCAAATAAAAATGTGTAAAACGATTACACCCTAAACAATATTGACAATTTCATGAAAATACATAAGCACTCGTTGAAACATTCGATTTTGAAGCAACATCACTGCAAGAGACAATAAAAGTCGTTAGCTCAGCATAATGCCAAGTCAAAGATTATGTTAGAAGAAAGTATTGAGTCGTCTTTAAAATACGACTTTTTAAATAAAGCCGTGAATACAAATGGAATGGCCCTACTACTATGTAAATTCCTTATGACATGATATGATATGACGTGATTGTTGACTGTCCTTTGCAGATAAGCAGCTATATTATATGGTATATTTAAAAAAAATACAATTTTAATTTCTGTGCATCTAACATGTTTGGTTCTGCATCGTCCTAAGGTCGACTGGTAGAAAATAAATACGGCATTAGGTCCATCAATTCCACATTTGTGCATAAAGTTAAAATAAATAAATAAGCGTGAATATCTTGAAACGCCAGAAGAAAAAAAAGATTTACAAAAATAAGTAAAGAAACTATAAGTAAAGTTTTACCCCCTTTCCCGCATGGCATGTTGAGATATCTGTGAGATGCACTGAGCTCGGAAGTTCTCGTAGTGTACATCTTGTGTTACGTCTTTCAGATCTTGCATGTGCGTGGAAATCAGCATCGTTCGAAGCTTCGTGAAGTCCGAGTGTCGAGGATTCTCCACTGCAGTCCAGAAAAACATATTCAGAATAACAATTATTTATATTCTAACTATTTACATCCACATTGTGTCTAACAATTTTGAAGGTGATCTACAATGTAAGATATATCTTCAGCACTGTACAGATTTCTTTTTGGTAAGTTGCAAGACTTTATACCACGTATAAAGTAGTACATATAATGTAAGAGACTCAGTATGTAAATATATTGCGTCTCTTTCTTTCCATTGTAACTGTAGGTGGTTACAATGGAAAGAAGATATATTTGCTTTCAATATACTCTATTTTTTCTATCTTTAATTTTAAAAGCAGGTCGACGGCAAGTACAATATGGGAGCTTATTACAACTATGCCAACCTGGGGGGAGTATGTCCATTAAGCATGTCATCAACATCATCATAAACAGTTTTTAACAGTCTACTGCTGGACATGCGTCTCCCCTTAGAAGAAACGGTTTGGCCTACTATAAAACGCTGGTCATACGGGTTGGTATAGAGTTTATTTCAAAGAGAACTATTTGCAGTGCTGTTGTCTTACGTAGTTTGCTCCCTTAAACGGCTCTTAAGACACCCACTTGATGAATAGGGGTGGTGACATTCCGTATTCTTAATCCGTTACCACAGGGTAACTAATATAAAGCACATTGCATGCTGTCCTTTTTTCCATGTCCCGTTCCATGTTGCTGATGACGACAGCTCTGCATGTGTACAAATCAAGTAGACAGTACATTACGTCATTGCGCCAATCCGCCTTATCAAACAATCTATTATTCGACCTCCCGTCGGATGTGGTGGTTATTTACTATGTAATTGTGTGTTGTGCTACTGAATACGTACAATTGATAAACAATGCCATGTGATGTCGTCAGATTAGTTTGGGTCCGCAAGCTATTTCAGTATGTTTTATCAAACATTTAACTTGACGTGGCATGTGCCTCATTGTTGCATATTTTATTAACTCAATTTTTCCTTGTTTATAAAGCTTTTCTTAAGTAAGAACATTTGAAAAAATAAGTCACAATGGCGGTTGCTTAACACATTTACTTTAAAGATTAGATGAGAAAATTTAACGTATGTTAAAACGAATGTAGATAAGAGTATAAAGCAGTGGTAGGAAATATATATTGTTTATACGGATAGCTACATCTGGAACACGTCAGGGTCGCATCCTTATCACTCAAATTGGCTATTGCTGGAAAGTCCGAGGCTTCTAACCGACTTGAACATAACGGTGGAATAGCAGAAAACTTGCTGCCAACCCTACTGATGAACCGTCATCGAACCGTCTCGTCAACGTCGAAGTCAGGATTGCAGCCCTGGCAGCCCTGACTTCAATAGTGATTGTATTGGTATATATTATCTCACAACTCTCGTGACAACTATAAACTTACCTGAAATACGTTCGGGTCTTGCACGCACAGGAATCTCTTTTTTTTTAATTTTTGATTTTAAACTTACCGTCGACTATTCCCCATGGATACTGACGACCGCGCACCCTTTTTCCACCCACTTCAAGTACAACATCCGAAGCCACTACAGCAAAAGGAGCCGCGGCTTTTAACTCCCGATCTTGTTGTTTGAATTCCTCGTCTTCGTCACTATCACATTCGGGGAACTGATAAACCTGATGAACAACATAACAATATATAACGGTTTATGGCAGTCTATATAACGACACCATTAAAACATTGCAAGAAATTAAATCTTATTAAGAAGACTTTTTTCAACGTAACACTGTGTTGCTGCATTGAAGAAGTAAAATAATTATAAATCTGGTACAGTGGTGCACAAACATTTATTCTTATCATCACAACAATTTAAATGATTATATCTAAGAAGTAGGGGAGATTGGGTCACAGTGAATCGCGGGGTACAGTGGATAATTCAGTAAAACTCAATATGTGTTGCACTTGCATACACAAACAAACGTGTTGTTATTGCTCGTCCATGCCCCTCTCCTCCGAACTAGTCGCCGTCGCGGTATCAATGCGGGAACACGTGCTGTCACACTCTGCTCAGTAGGTAAGTAACGAAACTATTTTTTTACGTAATTTTAAATTTTGGTTTATTTCTAGGGATATAAGAAATATGAATGTTTGTATTTTGTCGTACGTTTGTTATTAACTAAATTTATTGTAAATCATGTTGTTTTGTCATTGAGATAGGTAGTTTTTGTTTAGTAATATTGTTTTTTCATAAAGTCCAATGGGTCACAGTGAATCATTTTGTTTTGGGTCACAGTGGACTGCTGATCCATTGTAACCCGTGAAGCTGAATTTCATTCGTCTTTTTTTTTTTAGGTAAAAATGCCTCGCAATCGGGTAAGGAAGACTCTTATCGGACTTCACACTGAAGAACAGATGAGCAACGCCTTAAAACTTATATCGGATGGCCAAAAAATAAGGGCTGTTGCTAGATCGACAGGCATTCCTTTTACAACATTATATAGGTATCATATGAAAGTAAAAAATAATCCTGATCCTGAAAAACCAATAAGGCTTACACCTAATTACGCAGTACACAAAATATTTGCCGTCGAGCAAGAAAAAGATATAGTCGACTATATTGTTAAGTGCAGTCAAATGTTTTATGGACTTACCATCACAGATGTTCGACGTCTTATTTACGAAGTTGCGAAGATTAACAATATAAAAGTACCAGATAAATGACATGATACTAAGCTCGCTGGTATGGAGTATTTATATAATCTCAGAAAAAGAGATAATCGATTATCATTGCGCACCCCTGAGGGATGCAGCTTAAGCAGAGCGACGTCTTTTAACCGTCACAATGTTGGTGTGTTCTTCAGTAACCTAGAAAATGTTATGTCTAGACACACTGTCTTTGGAAATGGCACCAGAGTTTTTAACTTAGATGAAACAAATACCATGACGGTGCAAAAATGTGCCAAAGTTTTGACAGCGAAAGGACAAAGACAGGTTTCTAAGGTCACCAGCGCAGAACGCGGGACGTTAACAACAACTTGTTATATTGTTAGCGCTTTGGGTAATGCACTGCCGCCAGTAATTATATTTCCCAGGGTGCATTTCAAACAACATATGATTGCGGATGCTCCAACTGGAACCTTAGGTCTAGCTACACCATCCGGCTGGATGAACGCAGAATTGTTCGTGCAAACAATCCAGCATTTTATAGCCCATTCAAACAGCAGCAAAGAAAACCCTAGCCTGCTCATATACGATAACCACGAGTCGCATATTTGCATAGAAGCCTTGAATCTAGCAAAAGAAAATGGTGTGACCATTTTAACAGTGCCACCGCATTCAACAGGAAAGCTACAACCATTAGACGTCGGCATTTTCGGGCCATTTAAAAGTGCTTATAACAAAGCAGTAGATAGTTGGATGTTGCGAAATCCTGGGAAAACTTTCTCAATATATGAAGTAGCTGGATGTGTCAGGGAAGCTCACATGAAAGCTATGACACCTGGAAATATATGCGCTGCGTTCAAAGCCACCGGAATATTCCCCTTCAACAGAGATATTTTTACTGATCTAGATTTTACACCATGTGAAGTTACTGATCGACAAATGGATGTGGAAAATGATCAAAATGAGAGCAATAGACCTGTTCAAGATGATAAATCAAGAACCCCATCGCCGTCAATATTAGAGTTTCCCTACCTTGATTCAAATCTAGATTTTCAACTTGAAGAACTTGGCGCTCAAGGTAATAACAGTGACAGAACGAAAACCCCATCACCACATGTACTAGAACTCCCTCCGACTCCATACACAAATATTCAACGACAACCTGATGTTACATTAGTCAACGCTTTATTGCCAATCACGAAGGCCCACGTGCAAAATAAACAACCTAAAACCACTGTTAGTACTTCCTATTTGAATAATTCTAAGATTGCGGCTTGTTCTTTATCGACGCTGGCACTTTCGTCGTCTGCAGCTGGTACTTCTTCTGCAAATGTTAATAAGAAATTCCTGAGTCCATTTCAATTTCGAGGGCTACCTAAAGCAGGGCCACGTAAAGGGGGAAGAGCACCAAGACGTAAAGGTAAATCAATGATTGCAACTGACACACCTAATAAACATGAAATAGAAATGAGAGGAGAAGAAAAGAAACGCAAACAAATAAAGGCAATTGTAAAAACAAAGAAAAGAAAAATTTTACAAGATAGTTCCAGCGAAAGTGGAGATCAAATAAGTGTTTATTCTGAAGAGGAACCGATATTTGAAGATGAAGAAGATGATTATGAGTCGGTGGATCCCAACAACTTTCCTGCACCTAGAAGTTTGCCAAAGGAAGGCGATTTTATTATTGTTGAATTTCAAGTAAAAGAAAAACGAATTTATTATGTGGCAAAAGTTATTGGAAATCAGGAAAATGACACTGAGGTGTCTTTTCTAAGAAGATCAGATAAAATACCAAATAATTTTCACATGCCAAACGTGCCGGATATTGCCACGGTTGCATTACCGGATATTAAGATGATTTTACCAAAACCTAAATGTTCTGGCAATACAAAGAGAAAACAATATATGTACCACTTTGATATTGATTTTTCTAAAATAAATTTACGTTAATTTTAACAATTTCAAAGTAAACACGTTATTGATAAAAAAAATATCAAAATTTTAATTTTATGGTAAGGGAAATTTTATGTTTGTTCTCAGAGCACAAAGTGATTATATTTTCGTTTATTCATAGCTTCACGTTAAATGATTACTATGGAAGTAAATGTTTTTGTTTTTATAATAGAAGACGTAAGTGGATGAAGGTGATATATCTTATTTTCAGATTTTGTCATTTTTTGAGTATATGAATGAGATAGGTCGATACAAATGACTTCAGACCTTAAAATAGTCTTAAAGAAAAAAGTCTGAAGACTTGTTACGTCTTCAATTATAATTGTTGATTTGTTAACAATGTTCCTATTAAAATATTATATGGCAACTACACTGTAAGACTGTTTAAAACTTAATATATGCAGTTGATTGAGTCCCAAAAACCTCACCTATATTTAAGCTCATTAAAGTGACAATTCATAACTTTTACAAGACTGATTAGTTTTACGTAATAAAAGACTGTCAATGCGTAGAAATAAATGAGTATTAACATGGAAATTATTGTCTTTTACTGTATTTTTTTGTATAGATCCAGTGTACCCCAGTCGATTCATTGTCACCCATGCTTTGATCCAAAGTGACCCAACCCAGGGTCACAGTGGACCATTTCCCATTTTTTTTTAAAGTGGTTATAACTCGCAAGTTTATGTAATTCAAGGTACTAAATGCCCTTTTCTTTAAAGATTAGATACCCACCTTGTGATTTACTTTCAGAGATTTATCATTTGGCCATTAACTTCTGAGTAGCACTATTAAAAAAAAAAATATCCACTGTTACCCAATCTCCCCTACTCTTTAAATACTCATTATTATTATTTTATTTTACACTTCCTCCATTACAACTTGCACCAGGCGGACTTGATCCCGCATGGCATTATCTACCAGTCAACCTTGTCTTGTCTTGTGTCTTATGTAAAAAAAAGAGAAGCTATGAAAATATAACATTAATTTGTTAATACTATTTAAAATACATAGACAGATAAAAAAAAAAATTAATTATATATACGCAATAAAATAAATACAATAATGTCTGAGGTGACGAAATCTACAATATCTAATAAATCTATAGTAAATAAATTTTCTTTGTGCTCGTGATGTCTTTGATTTTAGACTTTGTAAGTACTGTTTTTACAATGTACGAATTTAATGTGTCTTTTGTTAAAGTATACCCACTTTAAAAAAAGAAAACTTTCATATTACTTAAGGATAAATAAGAAAACGGATACTTAGATCACAAAATAAAAATGTAAACTACATATGTACTTGTATTTGATTTTCCTCCAAGTCGTTAAGTATGCGTGTCTTGAGTCTTTTCACCTCCGCTGCAGTGAGGGTATCTGCTTTTGCTATCACGACAACAATATTTACTTTGCGGTGAAGGCGTTTCATCATTTCCAAGTCCACCTGGCGAAGGCTGTAACAATTATGTAAAAACATATTTTAACCACTTTATTATACACATGTCTACACATTAACTACAAGAATAAGATATTGGTATCGTTCTCAAATTTTATTAATGTTATCTACATTAACCTGGCCTCATTTGCCCTTGTGTTTCACTTCAATTGTTCATTACGTTAATAATCAAATTTTAATAGCAGGTTACTGCACCATATTTATTGTTTTCTGAATATGTATATGATACTAAGCGGTGTGGTCGAATTTTAGGGTTGTGTAGAAGACGTGAGTGAGTTTCAGGAAAAAATAATGATTTTGAATACATTTTTTTTAACTGTAACCCGTAAAACTGAAACTGAAATAGGAACCCGTATAACAGTTTGACAAAGAAGTCTGATCTAAATGAAACTATAGTTTTTTTATACCAAAGGATGTCTGTTGTACGGATGTTTGTTGTATAAAGTACAAACAGAAACCTTTTGTGACACCATGAAATTTTGATACCGAACTTAAACCCAAAATGAAGAATTAAGATTATTTCTGTATCATGTAGATGAATAATTTAACAGTATCATATCTAAAGTTCTCACGTCGGATTAAAGCTTTTCTAATACATTAGGAAAGTAGGTGACAATTGTGCAATGTGTTTTAAGTATACATTACAAACAAAGCAAAGACGTTTCGATTAATAATTAAGTCTTTATAAGTTTATAGGGTAAAATTTCTCTGCACGTTGAGGAATTGTCCCTAATTGGTCACTCAGCGATCTCACCTAAATGGCACCCACGCTCGTTATATCCTCTTGGAATATAGGTTTGTTCTAATATAAGAATGAAGAAGTTTCCTTTTTAGCCTGTTTTTCAACATATAATAGTTATGGTCCCGGTATATAAGCGAGGTAAATGATTAGTAAGATCAATAATTTTGTTATGCATAATATATTAATAGCTTACAGCAATTTATACAAGGGCTCTTAGATATTTGTAAAGCTATTGAAAATAATGGAAAAAATCTGTTGTACATCTTGTGAATGTACATACGTGTACATTAGGGTGTCCCGTCAATGTATGGGATTTTTTTTTTAAGCGACGGCTACGCAAGAGGTATCAAAAGTTGCGTTTTTGTGAATAGATTACAAATATAACAAAATTTAATTAAATATTTGTCATCTTTAGGCCTCTACCGATCCTAGAAGTTTTTCAAATTTGCCATTTTTAGAGGTTTCGAACATAAACTATAAATGATACAAAAATAATGTTTTAAAGGTTTTAATCAAATTTATAGGTACTACAAAGACATAAGGTAATGTTCAGTAAAGTTTAAATACTTATAATTAGTGCTTATTTCAAATACGAAATTGTTTCTTGTGGCCAAAATTAGGCATTTCCGCGCGAGATTTTAATCTGTTTCTGATTAAACCATCCCGAGCTGTAGCGTCCGTGACACTTAGAGAAGCCTCCGTCACTAGCTTTACACATCTTTCCACTGATTGTGTATGACAGGGGAAATCAATAACATCGAAGCTTTGTTCTTTAGCCTTAATTCTCAGTTCGTCGTCGGACATCTGTCGCAAAATCGGTGGAGCGGATATCTCACACTCTTGCCAAAATATCAAATCGATGTAATATCGCGCATCGAAGTTAAGTTTTGGTACTTTAAATACCCTGCGAGTATTGCTTATTTCTGCTTCTCTTGCCTTTAATATTTTGCGAGCTGCAAGCTCTCGAATATGCTCTCTGTCGTCGAATAGCATGGTAACAAGTAAGTTTTCAGGGTGAGCAAAAAAAGCGTTTCTCTCGATCACTGAATTCACAATAGATCTTTGCTTATCATTCAAAAATCGGGAGTATGTAACCATTTGAAAAATATGATTGGCTCCATCTTTGAATGATGAGTTTTTCTTAATGAGGAACCAAACTGGAGCATAAACTTTGACCACATAATTGACAAGCAGCTTTAAATTATTTGATGGCGAAACAGTACTTACATAAAGTCTGAGTATGCGATTGGCAGTAGTTAGCCATCTTGAATGCGCCATTTTTCCAGGTTGGCGGCTCGCTAACTCAGGGGAACAAGAACCAGTCGTCACAGCATGACACATTTCATACAGATACTTTTGATCCGTACTTAGTTCCTTCACAATGTCATCAGGTAATTCGAGCAAATTGCCAGCCACTACACAAAAAGACACTAGTGGTTTACTTTCACAAACATTTAGCTGTTTTCCAATAGGTCCTGAGTATTCTTTCGGCCCAGATGTGCTACCATCTAGAGACATAAACAAATGGCGAAGCGGTAATTCATTTGTGTGAAGCATACAAACACACCATTGTAACGGTCTCTTCAAATAGTCTTTCAGGTATTTAATGACACCTCCTTTCCAACCTGTATTTGTAGGAGTGCCATCGCAACCCACACAACTAACTTCTTCTAAGTTCCATCCTTGATTTTCTAACAATTCTATAATAGAAGTAACAATCCCTTTCGCAGTACCTCGACTCGGCGTCGTATGTCCCAAGTAAATAGATCCCGGCTCTGTGAGAACTGAAATGTGTTCTTCTAAGACTTCTTTTCGGTGGTACCGGCTGTCTATTTGATTGATCTTGAGAGTTTTATCTTTTCGCCCATCGAAGTAGATACTCTTTATAATAATTTTATCGATGTCTTTGCTGGCTTGGGTACGTGACTTTGAAACAGCTCTGTGAATCTTATTTTTATCAATCACAAGGTTTAGATCTTCGGAAGATACCATTCCTACGTCAACTAAGACTGCTGAAGCGACTGCAGCTGCCGAACGCGTTGATAGTCCGTATCGATCACATACCTTAGCTACTGTTGGCAGCGTCAGATTGTTCCGACTAAATGAATTAGATGGAGACTCCTTTAAGTCACTTTTGGTAGAAGGTTCTATTGAAAGCGACTGTGAACGAGGCGGCAACACGCTTACCGGTACAGTATCGGTTTGTGAAGTACTCGGAAAAACATGCTTGCTCTGTCCGCTTCAAATTTTCTTGTCTTTGATGTTTCTTTAAAAGCCTTGCAGTTTCTTTTGCGTCTACGCCGCTTATTGCCATTTTCCTATCATTTCTTTGGTCCAGTAAAAAATCTCTTTCAGAAATGGGAACTTTCTTGGGTTTAGTGCAGGAACAATTTTCAAACGAAGTGCACTTACAAGCAGCGATGTCAAAAAGCTTATTTGACGATTCCAAAAAGCACTTAACTTTGTTATCATAGCTATCGTTTCTCTTACTTTTAGGATATCTTATTAGTGATAAATATTTGTTAAAATATGCGGTTAGCAGTTGAGTAACCCGTACGTTAGAAACGATGGGAATTGAAGCTTTGGTCCAAATTGTGTTAAGTTTTCCAGAAACTATTGAAAAGACTTCTGTGTTCGATGGATCTTTTCCGTTTATCTGTAGTTTTAATTCACTTTTAGTAAATAAAATGCACTTAATAACGTCTTTTATAACAGGTAATTGGCGATCGTCAAGTTCTTTATAAGGTCCCAATATAGTACAAGTAGTCTCACTTCGCCTTGAACACATTTTTATGATTAAGTAACGCAAATTACGTTTTTCTTTCAAAGAAGAATAGAACAACTCCTTACAAGAGTAAAATCGAAATAGAAATGAGACGAACTGTCTTGTTGTAGAAGTAGCGCACGTACGAAAATCAAGTCAAAACATGAATTTTGTAGGAATTTTGCAAGTCCGATCCAAACCGATTGATAGCTAAAACAACCTATCGATACTTGCAAATCATAGCCGAGGCTTTTCTTATTGATAAAATTACAAGACAAAACAGGATTGATTCATAAAACATAGAATATACGACATTGACTACAAGGTTGTTTTTGCGAATTTTCAGTAAATAAAAATGCTGGTAGAGCCCTAAGGATATTTTTAAATATTTTTTGAATTATTTTTACGCTAATCTACGTCTAACAGCGCAACTTTTGAGAGGTCTTAAGTAGCTAAAATAAGAATAAAAAATTTTCGGGACACCCTAGTGTACATACAATGTGTACATACGTGAATGTACATCTGATTGATCACATTTATGCAACTGTGTCGAATATCAGATCATAAACACATCAATAAGAGTTTTGAACAAGTTAGTAATTAAAATTTGTTCAGGTATAGGTTTAAGTTATAGTGGTATAACGAAATTAAAATAAAATCATACATACATATAATTTACATGAAAACTGAAAATACAATTGTCGCTCCTTATTGGAACTGTAGTTAGATATTCAGACAAAAAATTAGCCAAAAAGGCCCAAGAAAATATATATAACTTTTGTAAAGATAAATTAATGGCCTGAATTTTAATTTTTTAATTAATTAAATAACCACAGAAATCGTAATAATAAGACACTAGAAATGAATTAGCGCTCGATAAGTTCCAAAACTGATGTCGCCACATCTTAACACATACACAAAATACAAACAAATAGGTATGAGACTCGCTCACACTTGGAAAACAACTGTGAAATGTATAGAGCACAAACTATTATGAACCTTAAGCTCCAAGAATTACATTGCATTTTACTCCAATGTATTATGTGGCACCACTACAATCTCCTTCGATGTATGATAATTCCTGTAAACAATGCTAGGGAGTGACTAAATATTTCGAAGGTGACGATATTTCTTTTATATGTATACACAAATAGAATATTCACACATAGAATAGGGTACAACAAGACATTCTCGTCTCACAAACATAACATTGCAAAGCAACAGTGATAAGAATTTCTTCTCGATGCAAGCATATTCTGCCACTTCGCAGAATCTGTACCTATATTGAGACCACTTGTACAAAATATGTCTAACGTACGATGTGTTTAAAACTCGTGAGCAAAAATTCAGATCTAAAGTATGATAGATGTTTGTAGACTATGCATTTTACTTCTGCGCGTCTTGTCCGTCTATGAACTATGAAGTATGTTTAAAGATTCAGTGCTGCCACTGAAGATTTCCTAAAAAAAAATAATTATAACAATGAAATTTTGCACAAATGTTGCAAAGGTGACGTAGGTGTAGGTGTCTAGGAAAGGATTTTTTCTAAATTCCACCCCTAAGGGTGCAAAATGGGGATTGGAAATTTATTTGAAACTTCGTTAATTTTGGTATTAGCGTTTTCAAACTCACAGTACGTTGTTACGATTTTTTTAAAACTACCCTTAAAAAGAGATGCAAATTGTACGGGGAACATTTTTTTTTAACTTATTGATTCCAAACTCTCTGTATAATTATATTCTCTGTCAATATTAATAATAATTAGCCACCTATTTTTCTAACTTTTCAAACTTAAGTATGGCGGTTACTCATTCACGCCAAAACGGCTTTTTGGATCTGGACGAGATTTGGCACATAGATAAATAGAATAGCACAGAGGTTATCATTTGTCCCGACAAAATTTCTTAACAAAATTGACATGTATGCGAGCGAAGCCGTGGGCAACAGCTAGTTCAAATATAAAAAAAATGGCTCAACATTGATTCATTTATTATTTATGTTAGAAAGTTATTGAATAGACGTAAAGCATTGTTATGAATTTGGTTGTTATTATAAACTGCTGTATGTGATCAGAAATTATACTTATAAAGAGGAAGTTATTGTTTTTTGTCATCATAAATGCATTGTCTTATCGAAGTATTATTGATGTGTTTATTGCTATCCATTACATAAACTGAAATAATGGCCGTTATAAAATGCTTAATCAATCTATGCACAGTACACTCATTGTTAATAATGAGGTTCGCTTTAACGGGGCAAAACTCAGCCAAGCAATATGGAACAATTAACTACAATAGAAATTTGGAATTCTGCAAATTTGTTTTTGAAAAAAAAAAAAACACTTAAACAGAAAATGATAGGTATCGAATTTTATTACTTCTCTCCTCTCTCAATTGATAAAACTTTTCAAGTTAAAACCAAACTGATCTTCGAAGAAGTTTTTTATAAAATGTTGATCTTAAAAAAAAGAAAAGAAAATATACATACATAACAAGTTCACATAATTTCTGTTGTAATGTTTCAAAAGATTATGAAAATTTAATATGTGAAATACCCTCACCACGCCAGGATTTCGATTTTTCTCAATTCGGTGAATATTACCTAAAAACCAATTACCTAATATGAACTACTTTATCTGATGAAAAATTATGTATCTACATGCTTTTTTATATATATAAAGAAGATTATTTATATGAATAATCTAAAATTTATACATATAAAATTGCTCAGACTGACTGATTGATTTACCAATGCAGAGCCTAAATCCCTGGGGCTACAAATTTTTGCAGTTTATGCTTTTTATGTTGTAAGCACCAACTAAGAAAGGATTATTGTGCATTTTGTTTTTTTAATGTACATTAATGATGTTTCTACACCTAGACCAAAGCATAAACATCACATGGCACTGAACGGAAATTAAAACTGCAACCGATATTAAAACGCAGAGATCGTTACATTTCTATTTATCCATTTTATATGTACAATTGTTATTTTCTAAAAAGATAGATTTTATTTCAACATTATCAATTTAAAAAAGTGTGTAAACATTCCTAATATTAATATTAGTTCCTTTTGAAGTTTTATCTCTGCTCTTATTACATTTACGACACGTGTGCTTCCGCAACGGTGCTCTATCACTGCGGCCCTGACCAAAATTGACCTAATAAAAATAATACACTCCTCTGCACACGTATTTGAACACAAGAGATATCTAAACCGTTTAAATACGACGTCTAATGGATGGATTGTGTTGCTTGTTGTGTAAGTACAGTAAAAGTACATAAGCAAGCCGCAAGTAAGTAAAAGACCTGCGGCAAATTGCTCAATTTCGAATTGACCGGATCATTACACATGTTGATGACGATTGTCTTTAATAATGTTTTAACTCTGTATCTATTTGACAACACAATGATTTCGAAAATAATACAAGAACAAAAGAGAAAGTTAAGTGTGAATTGAGATGGACGTGTATTGTAATATAAGAGTTAAGTACCTATGGGCCCAAGGCGGAACGAAGTAAAGACAGCAGTGCACCCGATTGTCTTGCATGTGACGGCGATTTAAACCACTTTCGTCTGTAAAATACTGTCTGAATTGCTCATCGATGTACGAAGAACAAACTCTCCACGAATCTTCGCAGTTGATGGCATCTCCAAAGCCGGGCGTGTCTACTATTGTCAAACGTAATTTTACACCACGTTCCTCTATTTCCATTGTTTTCTTTTCAACTGTTGTAGTTTTTTCTATTCTGTCTGTAATGAATTCGTAAACAGTTACACGTAAGTTCACCACCTCAAATATAAATAGTTTGTTTATACAATCTAGAAAGGTACCGTTTCTTCTTTCTTACCTTGGACGTCTGGTATTTTTCTGTTTTTGTAAAGATCTCCTAAAAATAAACTGTTGATAAGTGTCGATTTCCCGAGACCTGATTCACCGACAACCATCAGTGTAAAATCGAACCCTCTCTTCACAGATTTGCGATGTACTTGTTCCGGGAGCGTCGCGAAACCAATGTAGTCGCGCTCACCGCGTTCACGTTCTGTTGACAAAACGATTTGCAGTTGCAATATAATACAGTATTTTTTTTAATCCAAAATTAGAAATTGTAACAAAATACTACGAATTTCATTGCCTTTGGTATGTATGAACAGTAATAATTTTTGAATTCTGTACAGTATAAAAGCGAAATTGGTAACAGCGATCCTTTCAAAAACATACTAAACTAATTAAATGTTTTTACAATTAATTTGCCGTTATGCTGCTTAAAAATTAGAAACGAGGTATATTTTTTCAGAGAACAGTTAAAAACATTTACGATGATCAGAATGTTCATGTATGCTATTTAATTGTTCTCATGTGGTATTTAGTATTTATTATTTATGGTAAGTATTCTTAAAATTACATTAGAACAACATTGTTATTTTAATTTCATTTGTTCGAGGCTCTAAGAATACCTATCAGTAAATTCTAATAGTCTGGATGAGTTCTCACTGGTTTTTAGCTATTGTTAGAGACATTAAATTAGCCAAATAATGATAAAAATAATGATAAAAATGTTGATTTTTTAAATGTAAATTAGAGTCAACCTCCTAGTACCTTTGCGTTTATATTGTAGTAAAATTTAAAAACTAGAATAAGAATAATATTCATATTGACTAATTGATCAATTGACTAAGAAGTTTAATTTACCAAAAACAAACCCATAACAAAAAAAAAAGAATACAGAGAAAAAGATTATAAATATTATATTTTAACAAAAAGGAGGTTTAAATTAATAATCAAGCAGTCAAAACGTAGAAAATCATAGACATAAAAATCATTTTAAACAACTCTTTTAACTAATTTTGGTACTGAAAAGTAAACACTGACCAACTTAAAATTAGTGACTGTTCAAATGAATGTAGTACAAGCTTGTCACGATAATGACGGCGGTAATGCGATTAACATTAAAAAATATATAGAAGTAAGTAATTTATTATTCTCTATGAGTACAGCGAATTTGTTTAGCCTATATGAATCAGGACAGTGCTGCGCACCGGAGTGGAACACGACTGGTTCCCTCGGTGCTCGTTGTCCAGGGACAGTACGCGTGCGCACCTGATATTGAGGACGACTAGCGGAAGCAACAAACGTGCTTCTTACTAAGCACACACGATGTTATATTGTTATCTATTAAGCGGCAAAATTAACGTCACCATCTGACCTAATCGTTGCTAAGTTCAAGCGTTTGACTTTATAACAAAATAGTAGAGTTAAGTCAGAGAGAAATGGCATAATACGGCATGTTACTTATTAACTATATTGTAGTTTTTTGTCCTATAATAATGGTACAGGTAGCGTTAAGAATCCATATTTCCCACGATCTTACACTGAGACAATCGATAACATTGATCGTATTAATCATATTTCTTGTCATCGCATGTTGCGTATTTGTATCAAGAACGCAAAAATCAAACACTATTGTTATTATTGGTATTGTAGTAATGTAATTACTATTGTGGTGCGTAAGAAAAATTTCTAAACAAAGATTGCAAAAACTGAAATGTTTGGATAACTATTGGGTGTCCATTTTAAAATTAGATGAGCTCAAAAACTAATCCGAAACTCGTATTATTTATTGCGCTCCACCAATTTGTTAACTGTTTTGGTTAGTCTAGTAGTTGAAAGAAACAATATCTTTTCGAAAATACCTTATAGCTTTGTAGAGAAATTAGAAAAAAATTGTTCCTTATGCCTGTGACTTAAATAACTGTATAACTGTAATAACTAAAAATAACACTTAAATACTGTGACTGTTTCTACTCAATTGATTGAAAGAATCGAAATAGAAAAGAAACAACTACAAGAATTGTATTCTGGTGGTGAATAATTATATAATAGAATGGTGATTCTGTTCATGGTGAACTGTAGTTAATCAAGCAGTGGAAAAGTAGTAAAGTGGACGATAAATGCGCCTCTAGGAACTTACGAATTTTTATAACATTTGTAAAAGACGTTTTATTCATCCCATCAGTAGGTAGCTTCTCGTCTTGTGTGTTTGCAGTCTTCATACCCTTACCAAAAACATTAATATCGAAAAAAGTAAAGGAATTCTTTTTTTCCATTGTTTTGTATATTTAAATTTTAAGGTAGAAATTATTTATTTCTCTATTTTAAGACAGGCCTGCGAATTATCCTCATGCACTTTTGAGTTCGAAATGTGTGCGTAATATCACTTTAGGCGGCGTTAGTCGTCAGAAAACATCACCATCAGGTAGGTACGAGAGATGTTGGAGTTAGAAGATAGCGCAGGAAAGCGCACGGGTGCGTCTCGAGCGCACGGTTCCGTTGCGGTGCGCACGTTCGCACTGCGCACTCGACTCTACTAACTGACTTCACTTCAGCTACGTTCAGTTAAACAGATTGGACGTTAGCTTGAAATTGCGTCACTCATTAACAAGTAAATGAGCATATTAATAACAACATTAATTTGCACAAGGCTAGTAGTTTTAGAGGTAAGTAGTAAGTGATCCCTATCATTATAAGAAACAAAAACGTAACGTCAAACTAAACAATTTAGAGTGACTTTATTTAATGTATTATATCACGGTTTGTGCTGATTTAATAAAAAAGTAAATATCATTAGAACATGTAGATATAGTTACATACGTGAGAATACTAGTACTGTAGTAAATACTCGTACTGGTAAAACAAGGTATAATTAATAAATTCTAATTGTATAAATTCCTAACTATATTCCTACCTATTGAGAATGTGATCTGATTGGAGTTAAAATATATATAATACTCATATAAAATTCTGTCCGTGTTTTGACGGATTAAGGATATATGGAGTGTCACCACCCTAGTGATAAGAGCCGACCAAGTGAGCAAACTACGCAGACAGCAGCACTGCAAAGAAAAGAAGAATTGACACAAACCCTATACCAACCTGTCCTGTAACCTCATTTCTAAGGAGAGGCCTATATCCAGCAGTGGACTATTAAAGGCTGCTGATGATGATGATGATTTTTTTTTTATGTTAGAGGGAGCAGACGAGACTCATTTAGGAAGGAGTACGCTCTTTTCTTGAAGGTTTGAAGGTCGTATCGGTCCGGAAATACCGCAGAAGAAAAATTACACTATATAAAATTTACAAAAACTTTCTTCTTGTGACGAAATTCCTTACAACTCACTGGCATACCATAATAGATGAGATGTCGAAATCGTTTGCTAACTTACAACATACAAGGTTCCGTCACTTCGAGCATGACACATTTTCCCTGCCGTCAGAAGACCTTGCCTACCGATAAAACAAATAGATGACATGTTTGCCTATCATTGTTCTTAAAATAACCGTAAGGAATACTATGTCAGTACTTCTGCTAGAAATTAAACGTAATGCCTGTACATGAACATGACATTGACTGACCATATCAAAGGCAAGAACGTTATCTACGAGTATCATACAGTACTACATATAATAACCGTTACATTCTGCTTATAAATAATAAGCAGCATGTTTCCCTATTGCATTAAGTTAAAATATCGAATTTAGATACCTATTTAAGGCACTGGAAACACACTAAGGCCAGAAATCACTTTTGTGGGCTATTAAAATAGAATTACTGGTGCCAAGTTATTCAAGTATCAATCCAATATCATGATTTGGGATTAATAGTTTTAAGAGTTGCCACATAATATGAATGTCTCAATCAGGCCTCTAAATATGTTATCTACCATTTATCCGACGTGTTAAGTGGAACACCTCAGCGTATTCATTGTTGTGTCTACGTTCACTATTATTTCGTAAAAACACGATTTACGGTAATATGTACCTACATTGAATGCAGTTCGCATACTTTTATAGCTAGCTGCACAAGTTAAAGTAATTTAAGCAGGTGGAATGCAAGGGCAGGTGTTGGCCGAGCAAGTATTCAAAAGAACTGCTTAGGGTCGGAAGTTATTTAACTCAAAATATATATGTAGGAGTTATAAAAAAAAAGACAACACAAAACGAGGATAAGAGAACTTAAAATATTATAATTGTGAAGCAAGGACAGAAGTTGACATATTCTAGTACCGTTGACATATTCTACAGATAGAAATAAATTATAGAATAATGTATAATTCTGAAATGTTACGTGTGAAATAACAATCAATAGAGACCGACATTTTGGCAAAGAACCATACTTTTTGTGACAAGTGACAAATACAATAATTAAATAATATGCTCACCCATCGTCATATTTGCGGATAGTTAATGCGGCTGTATTTGCTTGAAAGTCAATCCATACTAATTCCAGGAAAAAATATATTTGGTATTGTGACGTTCAGGACAATATTACATATATTTTTCTAATTAGTTTTTTTATTATTCTTAACTATAAAAATTAAATATATCTATAAACTACATCTAAATAATGTAATTTATTAGCCCAATGATTGATTTTCTTTTTTTACAATTTCACTGGTTTTATTCATTATATAGGTACACTTCCGGTTTACCAAAACTGTATTTTTGTTTCTATTAAGTCCATTAATCTTCCAAAGACACTATTGCGCAATAGGTTTTTAAAAATATGTTTCATATTCAGCACTGCAGTTTTAAATTGTAATTAACAATATTCTACCCTAACACCTAAAACTTAGCAAATCAAAAATTCGCACGACACTTAACATAATATCACGATACTAATCCTAAAAATTGTATAATCAAAAAACAGTAGAAAAATCGAAGAAAAATAAAATCACATTGTTTGTGCGCCGTCCTGTGCGTTTAGTGTTACGTAATGAGAGGGTCCCGGGCCGAGCTCGTGCCCTCGCAGGACACCCCTCTCTTCGCCCCTTTGTTTGGCCTTGCGCGTGGCTATGCGCCGATTTCAATGCGCGGGACAAATGCATGCCTTCCTACACTGGGTTGAGATCGTTTCGCCGCGTCGCGCGCACTCATGGCAATTTGCAAGTAGCGATCAATACCAGCCCGTGCATACCTACCACGCCTGCGCTACCTTTGCCTTCAAGCTTGATACTTCAAGCTCTTCAGTGCCCTAGATGCAAAAGTATTAGCATTGTACGTGGCCTACTCGCATTCAAGGTCAACCTTTTTAATGTATATAAATAGCAACATTGTTTGCGGAATAACAACGTCCTTCAAGAGCTGCTTATGTGGTATAGGTAATATGAAGAGTAGGTACAATGTCGGTAATAGTACAAAATGTCAACCAATTTACGTAGATGATGAACATTTTCTATGAATTTTCAGAGTACCTTCTGGAAATTATAAAAAATAGTATGGTGTTGCCAATTGGTACAATGAACATATTTGTGACAGTCAAAATAATTTTAACTTTAACTAAAAAACTCAGTTTAACTTGCCTTGCCTGGTTAAGAGTTTTGATTCTTAGATAATTATTACAGAATAATTAATAAATATACATATATTTCGTATAAACTTTGTTATATGTACAAATAAACGTCATGTGACTTTTTACCTGTGGCAATAGTACGAGATTTTAAAATTCACACAAGTTAACAATTCGTATGAGGCTTTCGCCAGGGACTCAGACTTATCGGCGAATGTATAAGACATTTACACACATATACACTCGTATACACACACAGGGTTAACCAAATGTACAGCGGTTTAGACTATGGTCCTCATTATTAATTTATTACATCCTAGTAACATCAGGGCGTGGCCGCTTTCCAGAAGTGTCTATAATTCTAATGCAATCCAATTCAAAATTCTAGTGCAATTTATTCTAATTTTATTTATCGAACTAATGTTAAAATTGGTTTTAAGAATTAATTGAATTAGCCCTGTTAGTATGTGGCTGGCTAAAAGTGGATTGATTTAGCAAAGATTTTTAATTTAATCCTTCATGATAAAGGTTTAAATTGAAAATTAAGAAGAATAAAGACAAGTGACATGTTGGATTTATAGTGTTTTAAGTCGTTTTAGCTCTTTTATGGTGTAATACATAAGTCTAAAAAAGAAAACTGGTTTTACGGTACGGCAGCAACGAGTTATCTCATGGTTGATCTGTTTATTCTTTTGATGCTTTTATCAAATTAGCAACCTTGTTAATGTTGATAACTATGTATCATCATCAGCCTATCGCAGTCCACTGCTGGACATAGGCCTCTCCCATTGCACGCCACTTAGATCGATTATTAACTATGTATGATTATTGTTATATGTTGATAACAAAAAAAAGTAAGTTTCATTATGGCTCTATAATATTAATAATGAATAAAATACCGGCAGAAAAAGTATCGAATAGTCCTTTGTCAGATGGTAATAAGGCGAGGGCCTATAATGATTGGGTCATACCAGTTCTAACCTACTCTTTTGGCATAATTAGTTGGACTCAGAATCAACTAGATACCCTGGATAGAAGAGTTCGTACATTCCTAACTGCGTACCGAATGCATCATCCACGTTCATCGCTGATGAGGTTATATATTTAACGAAAATGTGGTGGTCGTGGTTTTCTAAATGCCAGGACCCTCCATAATCGTGAGATATGTAACCTTAGGAATTACTTCCTTTCTGTTAATGTGGGTATGCATAGGGAATTAGGGATATAGTAGCAGTTGATAACGGACTCACTCGCTCAACAATACTGATCGTAAGGAGATATGGATGGGTAAAGTGCTGCATGGACGTTTTTATCGGGCCTTAAATACAATACATAATATGTTGCAAAATTTGGACAGACTGGTTGAATTTCATTTTAAAGTAAATAAACATAAAAAGTAAAGTAAAATAATAATTTAAAAAATCTTGTTTGATTGTCTTTTTTTTTTGTTTAAACGCGCTAATCTTTGGAACTCTCCAATTCTTTTTGTAGTATTAATCGAGAACAGTTACAGGCTATGTAATATAACGCAACGGCCCTTTAAAGCGGAGCAGTTGTAACAATAAACGCCGATAAAACAACACTATGTCCACAAGACAAAATAATTCAGAAAAAAAATTGAGATGATTGCACACTGTATATGTAGAACATAAATTGCTGCTAAGAATAATGGCCACTTTTTAATATATTGTTAATTGAATTAGTGTCTTTCGCTGTATTAAAAAAAAAACTTCCTCCATAGATGTACGAACACTTTTGCAC